CCACCATTCTCATCACTGGAGAACTTGACTGCATCATCAGAAGGTGGCGTCGAAGACGAAGGTGAAGGATCTAAACCTTCAGCTAATTGCTGTGACTCGAGTCGAGGACGACGGGAAGTTCGACTCCTTTTCCTCCTCATAGTAGAGCTTCCATAAATCCCCGACGTCCGAAACTCTTCCATGACTAATTGGCAGTAAGACCACACAACACTAAGCCTACGAAAACCGAATCACAATAATAATAGCAGACTATTTCAGCAAACCTGATAAGAACCAAAACAGTGAACCAAAACAGTGAACTTCAAACATGAACAATCCACAACCATTCCTAAAGAACAATCAGAAAAACAAATAGATAAAAGCAAAACACAAAACCGATACAAACAGAATGTAATCCGCAATCAATTGCAGCCTCAACAAGAACAAATCAAAAGGATCTCGATTAATGTATTCATAACACCTCCAAATCAAAAGCCAAAAACACAACCTCCATACAAATTTCTCATAAAAAAAACCCAAAAACATGCATCGTTACTTACGAAGAAACAAAACCAACAACAACCCACCAGGCCAAAACCTAAAAACAGGGCAAAAATCAACAAACCCAGATGCTAAAACCCAAAAACGAAAAGAAAAACATAAGCCCAATGAACATTAAAAGGAGATTACCCATTACCTGGCGAAGAACGAGCAACACCACCGTCCACCACCAAGAAATCACCCAACCCACGAACCCACCAGGGAAAAGAGAGAGACCCAGATGGAAAAACGCAAACTAGAACAAAAGAAAGGGAAAAATTAAACAAGAGAACGATGGATTGAAGAAGAGGAAGGAGAAGAGGAGAAGAAAAAGGAAATTTAGGGTTAGAAGAGAAGAAGAATTGGGGAAAATAATGGGAATGAGAGAGAAAGAAGAGGGAGTGGTGGTGGTGATGGTAAAGGAGAGGACTAATAATCTCCCTCTCGTTCACCATTTTTTTGGCTAATTCCACTCCACCCCCTCTCAAACCCTCCCCCCAAAATCCCACGCTCTGATTTTTTTTTTGGGGGTTCCCTCTCTTTGTCAAATGCGGTCACCGACTCACTGAGCCAACTCGGACAGACCCATCTTTCTCTTTCTCTTTCTCTTTCTCTTCGCCCCCTTCTCTCCATTCCTCTCTACTCACGCTGCAAGTATGTGCGCATTTTAGTATCCTGCGCCCATTTTGGCGCATTCTAGTGTCAATAGAACGCTCTTGTTCATTACACGTGTGGTCTGGATTCGTCCGTATAATGACTTAAATGCCCCCTTCATTCTTAGAATACTACGGAAATGCCACTTGAAAATTTCAGCTTTTTGTAAATGAGCCGCTTTTGGCGGGTTCCAAGAATCAGTCGGGTCGTTTATTAGAGGTTTCTTCGTAAATTCGTTGAATTGCCTTTTTTGGGTCATTCTATTATTATTTTAAATTTAAATTTAATTGTCTTTCTCATTTAAAAAATATATTTTTTTTTTAACTTTAATTTATATTATTTTAAAACTTTTTAATTTTATATTTACATTTTCAAAAAGAAAAAATTGATTTATAGACGTATAGATAGTATGATGTAATTTGACATTTATCTTTCAGAAAAATGCTATAGCAAGTAGGCCGATAAAACCGAGCGAGAGTTCAAGCCTCTAATGTCCTTTAGGGACTATAAATTTTCTTAAAAAATGTTTCATCACAAATATATCTCATAATAGAAATTGAGATGATTTGATTGACGCGTTTCGATGCCACCTATAAACTCACGACCTTGGATGAATCACTTTACTCATGAGTTAGCGATCAAGCGGAAAGCGACCTGTTAAAATAAGCTGCAGTGGCAGCTCGAGCTCATCAAAGGATTGTTGGGCGATGTTTTTGGACATTGGGTTGCGTTCATCTTCCTCGAAGCTTCTCTTCTTCTTATGGCATTAGGGACATGTCTCCGAGCAATCCTTCCAACATTATAATGAATATCTATTTCTTTTAGATAGTTTTGAAACGTTTATAAATAGTCCAAATGAACGAGGGATGGTTGAGATGGGTATCATTAAATGGTTTAGAGATCCTATAAAGAGTGTGGAAATCTTTCTCTAACAGTGCACGTTTTAAAAACCGTGAGGCTGATAACGACGCATCACATGTCAAAGCAAACAATATCGGTTAGTTGTGGGCTTGAGCTGTTACAAATGGTATAAGAGCCAGACACATGCAGTGTGCCAGTAAGGATGTTAGGCCTCTAAGAGGAGTGGATTGTGAGATCCCACATCAGTTGGAGAGAATAATGAAACATTTCTTATAAGGGTGTGGAAACTTCTCCTTAATAAACGCGTTTTAAAATCGTGAGACCGACAACGATACGTAACGAGTCAAAATGGATGATATCTATTAGCAGTAGGCTTGGACCAAAACTCTACGAAGATAACAAAACCTGCATCATTAGTAAAAGCCAAGTAAAAAACACAGGCTTTGACTGTATGGTTGTTGAAATTCATGAATATGGAAGTCAGTAATTCATACCCCACCTTGGCAACACGATCCATCAGGTAATTCAATTGAATTTATAATACAAGTTCCCATAAGCCATTGACAAGTCATCTGGGTCAAACCTTGCTTAACACACAAGAAAAAAAAAAAAAAAGTAGCAGAACAGTACTTCAACTAAACAGATAAACAGTCAAACAAATGAAAACTAACTGATCTCCGAATAAAAAAGAACAAACCGCTTCAACAATTCTACTTGTGATGTTACGTGTAGCCATCACACAATTTCAGGTCTCAATTTATATTAGAAACTCTCAAAAAATTTCCCTAAAACCTTTACTAGAGATCGAAGGTAATTATATGTTGTAATTACCGACCATAATGACGACTGTTTTCCCACTAGTTATAGGTGATATCAAAATTCGATGAAGTGTTGAACACAACTATTTTGTGAGAGATACTCGAGGGAACTCTTGCTCACAGGCTCACTGAAATCAAGAGAGGAGACCGAAGATGCATAAGGGGGGAACTCTTTCTCACAGGCTCCCTGAAACCAAGAGAAGAGACAGAAGATGCATAAGATGCAGAGGATACTATGGATGAAGAGTGAGCCTCTCTCCTATATCTAGGAGTAGAGAAGAGAGCACCTTCAACCGACAAAGTATTTCTTTCTTTTACTGCTCGGCCAAGATGTGTTAAACAAAACCTTCTTCAAAAATCTCTCTAAAGGTGGATAATGGGATGGTCTACTACTTTGACTTTCTTTTTCCAATGTGACGAAAGAAAGCAAAGAAACTCAGCTTCTTGCAAGTCCTAATAAAGTGGGTAACTAAGGTTTACTCGTCTTGGAAAGCCTCGTTTTTTTAGCAAAGACCAGAACCGATTCAATCAATTGAAATCAATGCGAGTCCCACCAAGAAGGAATATTTTGAGGCGGGCAAGGAAGGATGTAATTGGAACTTGTTGAAATATAAGGAGCTACATTAGAATTTTCGTAACAATAGGTGCTAAATTGAAAAAAAAAAAAAAAAAAAAAACTTCCCATTGGGTTAAAGCATATAAATATTTAGCCCACTAAACGTTGAAACAATTATGTTTCATATATTATTTTTTTTCATTACCTAAGGCTTTTATATCTATTATTTGCATGACCTAAAACATTAAACAAGATGAAAATTTTGTTAATCTTGTCTGAATTTAATTCAAAGGTACTCAACAATTCATTTTTTCATTTAACTAACCCGAACATAACTTAACTAATTATATCTTCACTCCAATCATATGTTGACGAAGTCGAGTCTAACCAACCAGCCTGCTCACCTAGGGCAAGGAACTTGGGTGGACCAACCTTATTATTCTCATCAACAATATCTTCTACAACTGTAATGTCCCATATTGGTTGGGAGGAGAACAAACCACCATTTATAAAGGTGTGGAAACCTTCCCCTAGCAGACCATTTTATAGCCATGAGGGAAAACCTTCCCCTAGCAGACCATTTTATAGTCGTGAGGGAAAACCTTCCCCCAGCAGACCATTTTATAGCCGTGAGGGAAAACCTTCCCCTAGCAGACCATTTTATAGCCTTGATGGAAAACCTTCCCCCAGCAGACCATTTTATAGCCGTGAGGGAAAACCTTCCCCTAGCAGACCATTTTATAGCCTTGATGGAAAACCTTCCCCCAGCAGACCATTTTATAGCCGTGAGGGAAAACCTTCCCCAGCAGACCATTTTATAGCCGTGAGGGAAAACCTTCCCCCAGCAGACCATTTTATAGCCTTGAGGGAAAACCTTCCCCCAGCAGACCATTTTATAGCCGTGAGGGAAAACCTT